CCAACCGCACTACCACATTGCGTGCAAGTGCCCGAATGTCTCCCTCGATGCCAGGCACTTTCCAATATAGAAAGTGGACTGGCCCAACGGCGGCCTGGACTGGGAGGCCCCTGTGTCCAGTAGCTTCACATTTGCCCAAAGTGTCTGCGCCCAGGCCCGATTCAACCAGTGGCCCGGGACCACAAGTGTTAGGAGAGCCCAACTGCCAGACGATGCCAGGCACTTTCCTATATAGAAAGTGGCCTGGCCCAATGGCGGCCTGGACTGGGAGGCCCCTGTGTCCAGTAGCTTCACATTTGCACAAAGTGTCTGCGCCCAGGCCCAATTCAGACAGGGGCCTGGGGCCACAACAGTTAGGAGAGCCCAACTGCCAGACGTGGCTTGACTTGCTCTCTGCGTCGGGATTGGCAGGAAGCCCCGCTTCCACGTAGATAGAGCCTGCATGAGCCTAGAAGGCTCCGGAAATCACGGTTGCCCGCAAGCAGGGCCCATGTAACAAACTGGCATGTGGTAACTGTCTGGCGTGAATTGAGGCCTCAAGGGCCTGGAAATGGCACAATTGAGGCCTCAAGAAGATGAGCTGGCCGGCCTTCGCTTAGGGTGGGCACAAGGTTGGTAGTGGGGCCACTTGAGGCCTGCGGAGGACAGAGATCTTCACAATTACATTATTCATTATAAATTATTATATTATTATATTATATTGTTTTTTTTTTAAATACATGATTGTATTATATTTTAATTATTAAGATTTGGGATGTTTCGTTTTTTTTACTATAGAGCTTAGTACCGTAGTCTGTCACAGCCATGCTCAGTCAGTCGGACGTGTGAAGCGAAGGTTAAGGCTATGGAAAACCTTCGGGCTTAAGTCGTTTCCTTATATTATTATTATTATTATTATTATTATTATTATTATTATTATTATTACAAATGAACCCGCCGTGGTGAAGCCGCGGCCCAGCGCCAGCCCCACCCCAGGCACGGCCATTATCTGGCCCGGGCGACATTGACTGTGTTTGTTTAGAACATGAGGTCTGCAATTTAACAGTTTCATGTGTGCATCGACTGAGCAGCCTGCCAATGTGCAGAATGAGAAGGAATCTTCCCCAAGAACATAGGAAGATACACCGCCACGGACAGATACATTGAAAAGAAATCCCGGTGTATGTACTAAGGAGCTGTCAGATGGAAATGTCGCTGCCAGAGAGAGAGAAAGAGAGAGAGAGAGAGAGAGAGAGAGAGAGAGAATTTTCCAGGATGAGCAAAATGGGAATGAATCTGTCCCTAGAACATGGAAATATACAGTACCACATTTTCGGTCGTTGGCAGTGTATATTTCCATGTTGTGGCAGTGGATACTTCCATGTTCTACCGGAAGATTCAATCCCATTTTGCTCATTTGGTAAAGCGTGGCAATGTCGGTCTGTGTGTGTGTGTGTAGGATGAGCAAATCGGAATAAATCGTCAGCCAGAACATGGAAATATACACTGCCACACTTTTTTTTGTGTGCGTGTGTGCGTGTGTGTGAGAGAGAGAGAGAGAACAGGTAAGTCTCCAACCTCGCCGCTGACCTCATCGTACTTCCATCCCATCCATAGGATGAGCAAAACAATGGGGTGTGTGTGTGTGTGTGAGGGAGAGAGAGAGAGTTTTCCATCCATAGGATGAGCAACGCACCGGCCAGCACGTAAGTCTCCAACCCCACGGCTGCCTCTCGCTACTTCCATCGATAGGATGAGCAAAATCGTTCCGCTAGAACATGGAAATATACAGTACTACACTTGTGTGTGTGGGTGGGTGGGTGTGTGTGTGTGTGTGAGAGAGAGAGAGAGTGAGTTTTCCAGCCATGCAAGCAGAGAGATAGAGAGAGGCCACTTCCATCCATAGGATGAGCAAATTCGGAACGAATCCTCCAGTAGAATATGGAAATATACACTGCTATCCAGCCATGCGCGCAAAGAGATAGAGAGAGGCTACTTCCATCGATAGGATGAGCAACATGGGAGGAATGAATCTTCCGCTAGAACATGGAAATACACACTGCCACTTTTCTTCTTCTTCGTCTTCTTTTTTTTTTGTGTGTGTGTGAGAGAGAGAGAGAGACAGACAGAGGGAGAGAGAACAGGTAAGTCTCCATATCTTTTTTGTCTTTTGTGCATTGAATCCGAACGCGCTAAAACGCGCAGCTATGAACTTGAACTTGTATTTGAACATGAGTGAACATGAGTGGCACGCCGGCCTCGAACAAGTTCAAGTTGAAAATACAAGTTCATAGCTGCCCTTTTCAGTTGAAAATACAAGTTCATAGCTGCCCTTTTCAGTTGAAAATACAAGTTCATAGCTGAAATACAAGTTCAGCCCTTTTCAGTTGAAAATACAAGTTCATAGCTGAAAAGGGCTGCTGCTGCTATGAACAGAGCGAATGGAAACAAAGCGCAGCCGCAGAAGAAGAAGATTCGTTCTCCAAGCACAAAACTAATTTTGTAAGGGACGCCGGGCCCGGTTCCCGGCTTTTATAAAGACTTGTATTCTTTTCTATATAAAAAAAAAAAAACAAAAAAAAAAACAGCCCACCAACCAACTGCAGGTGGGGCCAGTCGTCGCGGAAAAAAAAAAAAAAAGAACAACTCGGAGTCTGCAGCTATGAACTTGTACTGGAACGTGCGCCCCTGGATATTTGCGACTCCGCCACGGCAGCCAGTGCGGCCCACACAACAGCCCCGCGGGGCCAACAGGGAGTGTGCGCCGCACCCTCCCTCCCTGTTGGTCATCAATCAATCAATCAATCCGTTTGATTGGTTGATTGATTGATTGATGGATGGATGGATTGATGAATTGATGGATTGATGGATTGATTGATTGATTGATTGACAAAAACAAAAGAGAAAAACACTGCCACTGCACCCCATTCTTTCTGGTCTTCTTCTTCTTCATCTTTTTGTTTTGTACCCTGTCACAATCTCACACTCACACCCGGTCACACACACAGGCCGTTGACGTGGCCACCAAGCAATGTACGACCTCACTGATGGTTGCTACGCAGCTAAGAATCGAATCCTACGTGCACAACCTCCTCCATCTTCTTCCACTTCTTCCTCTCACCCCGTAATCGTTCCTCGCTCCCGTTCCCTCCCCTTGATCCTCCCTCCACCTTCTCTCTACCCTCCCCTCCCGCCGGTCCTCCCCCTTCTCTCTACACTCCCCTCCCCCCGTCCTCCCCCTTCTCTCCGGCCTCCCCTCCCACGCGTCCTTACCCCCATGTGCGAATGGGGGCCGGCCTAGGGTTGTCGGTGGTCGGGGAGGAGCGGGGGCGATGCTTTTTTGTCTTTTTGTTGATTTTTTTTTCAATCAATCAATCGGTCGCAAAGACCGACGTTTTGCCGATCTTAGCGGCCGATTGTGAGATTGCCTCATAGAAAGACGGACATTTCGTCGATCTTTTGCGGCCAAATGTTTTTGTTCTTTTTGCCATCAATCAATCACTCAATCACTCAATCACTCAATCAATCAATCAAGCAAGCAAGCAAGCAAGCAATCGGCCGCGCTACACCGAATGTCTATCTTTGCCGGCCGATTGATCGATTTATTGATTGATTGAAAAAACAAAAAAAAGAACAACAAAATTTGAAACAACACTGCCGCCGTTTCTTCTTCATCTTCGGCTTCTTCTTCGTCCCCCCCCCCCCCCCCGCCATCACTCTCCCCTCTTTCCCCCGATCCTCCACATCCTGACGGACGCAGCCTGTTTAGAACATAGAAGACATGAAAACAAAAAGAAAAAAGGCCGACCCTGCCTAAGGGATCACCTTCTTCTTCTTCTTCTTCTTCCTCTCCCGACGTAATCGTTCCCCACTACTGTTCCCTCCGCCTGATCCCCCCTCCCCCTTCTCTTCACTCTCCCCTCCCGCGCGGCCCTCCCCTCCCGCCCGTCCTCCCCCTTCTCTCCGCCCTCCGCTCCCGCGCGTCCTTCCTCCACCCGCGCGCGACTGAGGGCGGCCTGGGGTTGATTGTTTTGACTGATTGATTAATTGAATAATCGGCATTTCGTCCCTATCTTTGCGGCAGATTTTTTTTTGTCTTTCACTAATCAATCAATCAATCAATCGGCCAACGAGGATAGACCAAATGGCTATCTTTGTCGCCGGATTGATTGATTGATTGATTGATTAAAAAACGCAAAACAAAGTTTACAAAACACCGCCACCGCTCCTCCCGAGACCGACAACCCCAGGCCGGCCGTCATTCGACCCTCCTCAACTCCTCGCCCGTCCCTTCTTCCTGCTCCCCTTCTTCTTCTTCTTCTTCTTCTTCTTCTTCTTCTTCTTTTGTGCGCGTGAACTGAGATGAGTATCCGTGGCTATGTATTGATGAGCTTTCGAAGCGTGTACGTAAGGCAGTTGGCCACTGTTTCCACTATTCTTCTTCTTCTGCTGCTGCCGCTGCTGCTGCTGCCTCCTCCTCCCCCGCCCGGCAATCGTTCTCTCCTCCTTCCCTCTCTCTCTCTCTCTCTCTCTCTCTCTCTCTCTCTCTCTCTCTCTCTCTCTCTCTCTCTCTCTCTCTCTCTCTCTCTCTCNTCTCTCTCTCTCTCTCTCTCTCTCTCTCTCTCTCTCTCTCTCTCTCTCTCTCTCTCTCTCTCTCTCTCTCTCTCTCTCTCTCTCTGTTTTTTTTTCCGCACGAGACCTGTGCCTACCCTCAAAGTCATGTTCGATCTTCAACTCAAGAACTTAGAAGAAGAAGAAGAAGAAGAAGAAGAAGAAACAGAGAGAACTAGGAGGGGGATATGGAGAAAAATGTCGAAGAAGAAAATAGCGAAGAAGAAGAAGAAAGACAAGAAGAAGAAAAAGAAAGGAAAAAAGAGGAAGATTAGAGGAAGACAGGGAAGAAAGACAAGAAGAAGAAAAAGAAAGGAAAAAAGAGGAAGATTAGAGGAAGACAAAGAAGAAGAGGAGGTGGTGGAGGGTGGGTCAGGGACGGTTGTTTCGAGGCGTAGCAGTTCACATACCTGGACGGCAGATTTTGGCCATGGATCCTCCTTGGTTGCTGACAATGGCTGTGCCTCTCCCCTTGCACTGGCGGCGGCTGCACGGCGCGACGTGGGTGCTTCGTCAAGCAACGGAGCAGCGGGACAGCGGGGCAGCGGGGTGGCGGGGTGGCGGGGTGGCGGGGTAGCGGACGTTCGTGGTGGGGAGGTGGGGGCAGGCGGTTTCTCGCGGCAACACGCCCGGTAGGCCCATGATTTCGAATTCAAAAACGGCCCGATCTGGGTCGTTGATCTTCGGAGATTGACGGCCCATATCGGGCCTTCTTTTTTTTTGTTTTTTCAAAATCCGTTAATATTGGAACGATACAGAGAAGATTAGCATGGCCAAAAAAAAAAAAAAAAAAAAAAAAAAGGTAGCAAAAAATAATAATAATAATAATAAATAAAAACTCATAATAATAAGGGATAATTTGTGAAATACCCCCATAAGTTGAGATTTGTGCCAAAATACCCCTAAAAGGCGTGGGCAGAGCGGAATGCCCTTTTGGGCCGAAAACTTTGTGTTATGCCCCTGTCAGGTGGGTGTGCAAATTTGCAATCTGGACCTTGCGGTTTGTGCAAACTTTGTGTTATGCCCCTGTCAGGTCCTTGGCCTTTTGCAACTGGGCCTTAGGAAAGTTGGCAAGCTCCGGGTATTTTGCAAAGTTGGATGGTACCCGGTAGGGGTATATCACAAAGATGGGGGTTCCAACCGGGGCATTTCACAAATTTTTCGTTTTGTGAGAGGGGCAGTCCGCTCTACCCACATCTTTCAGGGGCATTTTGGCACATATCTCAACTTATCGAGGTATTTTGCAAATTATCCCTAATAATAATAATAAATAAATAAATATATTGTTTTATTTTATTTTATTTTATTGGGATAATTTGCAAAATACCCCCAGAAGTTGAGATATATGCCAAAATGCCTCTAAAAGATGTGGAATGCCCCTCTGACAAAAAATATATTTTGTGAAATGCCCCTAACGTCAGTTGGACCTCCATCTTTGCAATATACCCCTACCGGGTACCGTCCAACTTTGCCAAATGCCCCAATACTTACCAACTTCTCCTAGGCGCTATTGCAAAAGGCCAAGGCCCAAACTTGGAGATCCAGATTGCAAAATTGCACACCCGCCTGACAGGGGCACAACACAAAGATTTCGGCCCAAAAGGGTATTCCGCTCTACCCACATGTTTCAAGGGCATTCTGGCATATATTTCAACTTGTGGGGGTATTTTGCAAATTATCCCTATTTTATTTTATTTTATTTTAAAACCCCCAGTGCCCCCAAAATGTGAAACCAAGCCTGCGCATATTTTGGAAATAGTATTTCCGGTTATATCCAGCCCAATAAACCGCGTTGTCTGGTGGTCGCCGTATATCCGGAATGGCTACTTAGGTCCTTCAGGATATCCGTTAAAACTGAAACGATACTGATATACCGCGAGGACACGGGCTCACAGCCCGTAGTGAAGGCGTGCAGGACCGAGGCGTATAGCCTCAAGTTCGAATCCAAAAACGTGCAGATGAGCAAGATAGGCTCGTAGTATAAACCATGTTTACGATCCGAACATCCGTACCACCGTCCAGACGATCGGGGTTTGGTTCGGAGTCTACACGTCCCATCCGGGAGGTTTGGATCTGCCAAATTTCAAGGGCAACAAAAAAGGTTCATGACTTTTCCCCATTGAGGATTCGAATCCCCGAATCAGTTTTAGGGTTTTTTTATGTTTTGTTTTCGTCGAGGAGTGGGTTAACGAGACTGTATGCGGGCTCCATTTTTTTGCAAAGTGTATTACAGTTATAATATAGCAGTGTTATAATTATCATATATTAATTAATTTACAAAGTACAGACTTCATTATTGTAACTGTAATATACAAACTTGTTAACAAAGTAAAAAATTCAGTTACTTCAACTTAGTTGAACTCACACTCCAACAACAGACTGCATTTGTATAAATATTATACACATGCAAGTTTGTTTATGAAGTATGAAACACCGTGAACAATCGGTTTTTCTTACAGAGTGTATTACAATTATAGTATAACAGTGTTATAACTGTAATATACAACCTCATTTTCAAAGTATAAACTTCAGTTAGTTCAACTTAGTTGAGCTTAGTTCACACTCTAACAATAACCCTCCATTTGCATAACTATTATACAAATGCAAGTCTGTTTATAAAGTATGAAGCATTGTGATTTTTTTTTTTTTTTTTAACTGAAGTCTACACTCTTTATAACCGAAGTCTGTAAGGAATATAATAAATTAATAATAAATATAATATCGCTATGTAACACCGTATAGATATACACAAGGTTGGAGTATATACTATCATATGTGGCGAACATATGTATGAGAATATGTACTCCTCTTTTTAATTATTAATATATATATATAATGACTTTTTATTTCTAACTCAAGTTTGGTTGGGAAATCCGACATGATTCTGAGGCAAAAAATAGTTTTGATTATTATTATGCATAAACGTTTTTTTTTTTTTTTTACAGTCCGGAGAGACGCTTAACGGAAACCTCAATGTTCAGACCAAGTCGGCCATTTTATAACAAAACCAAACGGTTATTTTAACTTAACTTGCCAGCAATTTATAGAGTGGACATCATACTAACTATTTACAAAAAAAAATTGAAAAAAAACTTAAAAAACCTATAAAACAGCAAGGCAAAGATGTGTTTTTATGCAAAATTCACTCTTTTCAGTTTTCAAGATTTTCAGGATTTTTCAGGGCTACCCAAAACAGTCAACTCCAAGACCCCAACAAACACGAAACTTGGCACACACAGACCTTGACAAAAAATAAAACTGGACAAAAAAAANAAAAAAAAAAAAAAAAAAAAAAAAAAAAAACCCTAAAAAAATTGATATTCAATGCACTTTTCAGGGTTACGGGGGTTAACTAGGGTTGAAAAATGGGGTTCCCTTTTAACCACGTGTGACAGTCCGGAGATGTTCGCACCTTCTAACCGGTCCGAAAGATCGGAGACCCTCATGTTTGGAGATCCAAAAATGTTCCGAAAAAACAGATAGCGGCAAAACTGATAAATCAACCAACATAACAGTTTTAGCGAAACATTCGTTGAAGATAACACCATTATTTAAGCACGTGTACCTTCATAAGTTGTCAATTGTTGGTTGAACTTAAGGCGGAGTGCCATATAATTGATGATGCAGGATGCCCAATTATGTTCTCATTCGTTGTCGATGTTGTGATTAATTGTTAGAGCAATAGTTTCACATCTATGGTAACAAAGGAAGCGAAGATCCTTCCCATTGCAATAAAGTTAAACGTTCAGGAAGACATATCGAAAATGTACACTCAACATAGTAGTAGAAGAGTCTGTTCCAACTTTAAGATAAGACTGGTTTACTTATTAACTACATTCGAAATAAAATAAGGATCTTGAAATAACAGAGAAAAGTGGAGATGTATTATGATGCGAATGATATGTTTTATCTTTGTGAGAGTTGGTAAAAATGTGAAAAAGCGTTAAGACTTCAATACAAGAAAATTGACATAAAGAAATGCAAAGTACGTCCTGGATAGACTAAGATGGATTGACGGAGTGTATAAATTTTAATACAAGTGATACAAAAGAATAATACTTTTGGATCTACTTGAATTTATCCAAATGTTTTTAGGTGTGCACTAGAGTTACAAGATAAAACTAATCGTCTGAACGGTATGAGATTGATGCATTTGATCAATCCTACCTCTTATAGATTTTCCTTTGACCTGTGTCTGAATCCACATGCACTTAAGTGCTTAAGTGAGTTACCTGTTCCATTAAATGTCAATATTTATATAGAAGGTCTTCCTTTTTAAGAAAATTAAGACTCTTCTATCTGAAAAATATCTTCCAATATGCGCTCGTCTTCTAACCATTGACTGATGATAGTGGGTTCACGCTTATATGCACTTAAATGGGTTGGTCGGAGTTGCGGTGGTGTTTACATGACCGACCACAACCACATTTCGAACAATCATTTGAGGTTTTTTCTTCTATGTAGGGTGGGCAACAAGTTTTTGATCACTAGCAAATCATTTAGGAATATTGAAGTCGATGTCTTATCTTCATTGAACATTTTTTCATTGCTTTTAATGATTTTACTTAATGATACACAAACTTTAAAAATATAGCTTTTAAATTTTTAAGTTGATATGAAAAAATTCGAACTCATTTCTTTTGCATGCACTTGATATAATATATGTCAGAGCCTTGTGACAAAAAACCTTAAGAAGATTGTTTGAATTCATAGAAGCATAAATATTTTTGTAAAGTTTTTAAGCTTGGATGTACAATCCCGAACTAGAATCACTTTTTGTCTAGCTTTCCCGACTGATCGCCTAGAATAGCACTCGAGCCGCCCGACCATGCGACCTTCCCGATTGCCTGGAAAAACACTTGGGACGCCCTCAGCACTGACACCAAAATGACGACAAATAAAAATTACGGCGTTGCCGCTCTTTGGCCCGTAAACCAAAAATAAAATTTGGCAGCCGACGCATCATTTTTTGGGGTACGGTAAGCCCCTTTCATAAGTTTTTTTTTAAATATAGGTCGTCGATTGACGACGATTGACAGCATGCAAAGTCCCAGATCAAATTAAAATCCTGAGCCTTTCTGCCCTGCGCATGCCTGCCCTTCGACCACCGCCCTCCACCCTACGCCATACACCAACCGTTGTTCATTGTCGTTATGCCATTGTCGTCGCCTTGCCGCCATGCCATCGCCCTGCTACCACACTGTCATTGACCACGCCTTCCCCTTCCTCGATGAAAACTGTTGTAGTGCCATCCCGTAGAAGATTCGAGGTAAGTTTTTTTTTCTTCGTCTTCTTCGTTTTTTCTCCTTCTTTTTCTTTTTTTTCTATTACTACTTTTTCTCCTTCATTTCGTGTGTTTTTTTCTGATACTCTTCTATTCGAATTTTTTTTCCCAATATGTGCTCCTCTTCTAACCATTGACTGACAATAGTGGGTTCATCCTTATATGCACTTAAATCAGTTGGTCGAAGTTGCAATGATGTTTACAGGGTCGACCACAAC